TAATAGGAATCATCCAACTACTGTTATATTGGGAGAACGAGGCCATTCTCCAAATTTTCTATTAGGATTGGGCAATTTCGATCAGGATCGCCACTTTTTTTAAAACCCTGCAACCAACTAAATGATTTCTAGAATGTAGCCAATGTATTGGCATGCAATTTGGCCATTTTATTGATATTATTTTAAACAAACAAATATAGCATGCTCCCTTTGGCACATACTGTACAACAACTTCCTTGGCAAAAGAGCTAGTTGGGAGGAGTTTTTTTATACAAAAATTTCGGATCTATCTAAATATCACCATAGGGTCATATTAAGGGGGCGGAAAAAAAATGTTCTACAAAAATTGAAAAGTTCATTATCAATCTTGGTACATTTTATTTTTAAGGCACATAGCGTTTGCCATTTATTTATTTCTGATGTTAATTGTTTGGATATAGAGGTTACATTCAAAGATTTTGGGATCCAACAAATACTTTGAGCATAAATTTTACCTGAGGGAGCAAATACATAGTATAATCATGTGGCGGCAATAAATCTTTTGGCACTAAACCAGTCTTCAAAATTGGCTAGAACACTTGAACAGTCTAGGATTCTAGACATAGACCGGACTGGGACTCTGACCCCAAAGTTATTGGACCAAGCCCCAGACCCAGACCCAAAAATATAATGTGGAATCTGAACTCGATCCAAAAATCAAAATATTTATATTTTAAATATGTTTTATAGTTTATAAATTGGGACTCAAAAATATAATGTAGGACCTAGACCCAAACTTGCCCGGTCCAATTTTTGAGCCCATACCCTGACCTAGGTCTTGTCTACTCGACGAGTAGATTGGACATATCTTTTGAGATATTCCAAAAAAATCATCATGTCTTTTATGATAAAATAAAACCTGCACCATTTAAAACAAATAGATGTTACATATAAGAACAATATTGTTACATATTATTGCAACCCTATTTCTACAGTAAGATTCTAACGATGATTTGAATGTAGACTTTTTGCAATTCACATTTAAATCTTTGCTCTCTTTGTCTGTAAACTTTTTCCAGTTCACAATTGAATCTTGGCTTTGTTTGTCCCCCTAAAAAGTTTGAATAGCGTGAAGCCTTGACTTTTTGTGAAAATTTTGTTATTTATTGTCGTGTACTTAAATGGCATTTTTCTTAAAAGTTAGCATAAAAGTTAGGGATGTTTAATGCATTATCAAATTTTGTACGGACATTGTTTGCACTTTTTAGTGCTTTATTTACTGAAAAAAGTTTAAAATACCATTATCTTTTCTATTAAGGAGGGCTTTAGTAGGTTTTTATTTTGGAAGCGGTTTGTATAGAACCCATGCTCTAAATAATCAAATTAAAGCTTAAATAATCAAATTGAAATATGATCTTACGCAAGAGTTTCTATGTTAAGAGGGAAATAAAAAACCAAGTGTATGATCCCTACCTAGGAACATGTATAGGATACTAAATTATGGGACAATTTAATTGTTTTTGGGTAATTTGGAATCCTCCTACATTTAGTTACTTAAACTAAAAATTGGTGTAGCCTGTTGTTTCCCAATCGTTCATTTTGTTTATTCTCCTTTGATCTTTGCCATCCATCATGTGCAGTGCTACATACCCTCAACTCATACAATTATCTGCTGATATGTTTCTGTTTTATTTAACCTTACACAATCCAAGTAAGACGCACTTTCAAACTTCGTCGAAATATGTAATTTTGGTGTTTAAAATGTCAATGATGACCTAAAAATCCGTTTTACATCTAAGTATGGTTTTTAAAATTAAAAAATAATGCAGATTGAGCAGACATACAAACACTTGAAAATTTTGAAAATGGATGGCATAGATATATGTTACAAGATGTGTCATTTTTAGGACTTAAATTTATTTTCTTTCTTGCACTTGTAAGGCAACATCCGCCATCCATTATCGGCAATGATGGGTGAAGATCAACCGTATGTGTGGGCAAGTACTGCATGTTACAGTGCATAGGATGATACCTCATGCTATTTACTTTCCTTGTGTCCCCTCTTACCACAATGTTATCATTTTTAAAATGGGAAATTTATAAAATTATATATCGGGATTTGATCAATTTCACATCTTAACCTCTTTTCTTGTTTTTTCTTGTCAATTTTTAGATGAGTAATGATCTTATAGGACTCTCCCCCACCCATATATGTGGGACTCCAAAAGATCACCATTAAAGTGAGTACGAATTTTTAAAAAATTTATAACATTGGTGTGGGACTTTATTTTTCTATAAATCCGTATCAGATTTAATGATAATCATTTGGAATCCTACACACATGAGTGGTTGATGGTCCTGTAGGATCATTTTTCTTTTCAAATTACCCACCATTCTCTCCATAAAATTTCAAAGAACCCATCGAATGACACATTAAAATGGGTTTTGAAATTTATCAAATTACATTTAAAGATAAAATATTAAATAGTTCAAGTTCTAATTACATTTTGACGTATTTTCCCTTTTCCAAATTTTATATTTTAATTTTTTCATTTTATAATAATCTTGTGGCCATAGAAAATATGTGGCTTGTAATTCTCGTGCATACCAATTACTGGATGGACGGTGATGAATGGGTAATAGAACCCGTCACGTGGATCATGTCATGCTCCGAGGTGGTTCCCGATCCAATCATTTTTTTTTTTGACAATTTACGCATCATTCTCTCCGTAAAATTTCAAAGAACCCTTGGAATGATACATCAAAATGGGTTTTGAAATTTATCAAACTACACTTAAAAGATAAAAGATTAAATAGTTCAAATTCGAAGTAGTATTTTCTTTTTCCAAATTTTTTATTTTATAATAATCTTATGGCCATAGAAAATCTGTGGCTGTAATTCTCGTGCATACCAATCAATGGATGGACGGTGATGAATGGGTAATAGAACCCGCCATGCGGATCTTGTTATTTTCCGAGGTGGTTTCCGATCCAATCATTTTTTTTTTTCAATTTTCAGATTACACATCATTCTCTCCTTAAAATTTCTAATAACCCATCGAATGACACATCAAAATGGGTCTTGAAAGTTATCAAATTACACTAAAAGATAAAATATTAAATAGTTCAAATTCTAAGTACATTTTGACGTATTTTCCCTTTTCCAAAATTTGTGTTTTAATTTTTTTATTTTATAATAATCTTGTGGGCATAGAGAATCTGTGGCTGTAATTCTCGTGCATGCCAATCAATGGATGGACGGTGATGAATGGGTAAAAGAAACTGCCACTTTGGATCATGTCATGTTCTGAGGTGGTTCAGATCCCTCAATCACCGTTCAATGGCAGATTACACGGTGACGAAACTCATGACAATGGATTGCATGGTCCCGTGGTCCATAGTGTACATTTCCTTCCTTTCCACAACAATAATCAGAAAATATTATGTGGTCCCTCAAGTACCAGTCTGTCTTATACGAAAAAGACAAGGATAAAACTCGTCCCTTATCCCTAAACATGGACGACCGTAATAATTCTGTATTAATAAGGAGGTTATATTAAAAGCAACTGCGACTTTTCTACAGGAACGTCACAAGTTTATAGTCGTCCGATGTAAATCCAAACGGTTTCAATTCGTCTTTTTCTATGCGCGAAGTCCAAATAGCTCTTGAATTTCATGTCGGTTAAATTCAAATTTACAGCCGTACGATTTCCTTTATCTAACAGTTTGGAGTGATTGCAATTATATGTACGAAAATTTATGATGTGTTTTTTTGTCTCCAAAAAATAAAAAAATTGAGTCCTTCAACACTTAAATCTTGCCTACCGAATATGTTCAATCCTAGGATGCCTTTTTAGCACAAATATACAATTTGATCTCTTTTTATTTTTTTTTGGAGGTTGGTCATTACACACAAGCGATGATTTTGGGTTCGTTTGAGTCCAATTTGGACTCAACCGAACAATTCATGGCCAGTTAGGAATGACAACCCTACTCTACTAGTACAAGCCCTTCTTCTTGTTTCATTCATCCATTCATAGGAAGGGACTGATAGCTACAAATAAGGAGTCGATTGATACAGAGCTTGGGGCATCCAATTAGCCAGGATAAAAAAAAAAAAGGCTAAAAATATATATATTAAAAATAGTAATTTATTATTTAGAAATATGTTTTTAGGTGATTTTGATAATTTTTAAGATGATCTTTTTTAATTTCAAGATGTAAATTAAAATTGAAAAACGTTAATATAAGGTTGACGTCCTAAACAGTTAAGTTAAGGCGTACCTCAAAAATTTACAAGAAGAGATTGTTTCGATGCGAAAAGCACCTCAATTTGATCATTTCGACCTCAATACATATGAACATGAGGAAAAATAGATTTAAAGTCTTGAAAATAGTTAATGAATTATTTAGACTGTCAATTTTTAAGGTTTTTAAGTGTTGATAGATGTGCTCGATATATACACTATTTTTAAATCTTTTTATCCTATAATTAGAGATGAACTAAATTTTTAGGACAATATAAAAATTCATGATAATAAAATGATGTATTTCATACTATTTGAAGATGTACCTTACTTTGATTGTTTAGAACTGCATACTTATACAAACCACACAAGTTAAATTTTCCAATAATTGATTTTTTATTTTATTATCCAATTTTTTGAATTATAAGTATTGCATATGCTCCCACGGGTTCACTTATCTTTTAGAGGTGGCGTTGATAATGTAGTGTTATAGAATAATAACCATTCCTGGGACCCACATACGATGGGGCCGTGTGGTGACGTCGGCACCTATAATTGGATACAGCTGGTGCTAAAATATTGACAGTTAAAAAGTTACTTTCTCCCTCTATTGACACCTACGTTTCAGTATTACCACCCATTAAAAGGTGTTATTATAAATTGAATGTACTATTAGTTATGTCACCCGTTTTTTGAAATGAATTATTAAAAAATGTGGGTGTAGATAAACACAGAAAATCTGAAAACTTACCGGAAGAAGGGAGAGTCGAAAGAGTAGTTAAATGTTTCAGTTAGAGAGAGGAACATGAGTTAAGAGAGAGAAAAACCCTAGTTTATGGAGTTTGTTGCTTTTCAGCTCTCATGGCGATGGCCATTAACTGCCGAGAATCTACACGGCGTAGTAGCCTCGCTGGACCTGTGGAGCTCTATTAATGGATCTGCTTTTTGACAGTTTCGCAGTGTCCTTATCGGCCTGATTTCAGGCTTTTATGTGCCCTCTCTCTCAGGTTTCTTCCTCGATCTCCGAGAATTGGCCTGAGTGTTGCTGTTTTAGGGTTTCTGGCTTGTCGGAACTTTGTCTCCGTGGTCGTTAATGGCGGATCCGATGTGTGATAGTGGAGAATTGATTGCCTCTTGGTGCTCGTTTGTTTAGATCCATTTATTTCTCGTCCTTTTGACTGAGCTATTTCCTGGCTCTGATACTGATGGTTGAGGGCTAGTTTGAAGGTTTTGGGGTTTTGAGATTGCTTTAGCTTTGAGTTGCATCAAGGTGGAGAGTGAACTGGTTTTGGAGTTTGAAATCGGTGGTTTTGAAGATGCGATTAAGGTTTGGAGATCCTCACTCCTCTGGTGATTTCAGAGAAAGAGTAAGAACTGGTCATGGAGTTGCAGGTAGATTACTGATTCAGTTTCGAGGAGTTTCAAAGAGGGTAGTTCTCTTTGAGAAAAGTGAGATGTTCTTATTTGGACTTCATGGATTTTGGAGCATTTAGATGTGTTTGGTGATTGAAGAGCATAGATAAAGAGCAACAAATGGTTTACTCGGAAGTGAATCAGGGTTTTGTGAGGCTCAAGAGACTATCAACTCATCAATAGATAGATTGGAAACTGTTTTCTATGAGAATTGTCTTGTATGACGTTCAAGGGTGCCAAGTTCATAAACATGCCAAGTTCATAAACAAATCCGTTAGAAGGCGTCTCTTCTGATTTCAAAGTCAATTATACAACCTACTGATTCATTATCGTTTGCTTCCAATAAGAATTTGACTTTTATCGACCATCTGGAATGGTTTCACATGAAAAAACACTAGAAGTCTGAGAGTTATTGAACTTATAGAATAGCCTCAATTTTCCAAAAGTTTCAGGTGATAAGGTTGGAAGTTTCAGGTAATTAGGGCTGGGTTTGGATCTGATTCTTGAGCTAGAGAGCAAGAAGAATCATCACAGAGATGCAAGTTCGAGGCCTCACCCGATCAGTTAGCTTTGGAATCTCTGATGTGGCCCTGGAATGTGTCATGGCCTATCTCGATGAACCTCGAGATAGAAGCGCCGTGTCTTTGGTTTGTAAAAGATGGCACTATATTGATTCTTTGACTCGAAAGCAAATAACCATAGCCTTCTGCTACTCCATTAGTCCTTGCCGTCTAAGGAACAGGTTCCCTCGGCTTGAGTCCCTGAAACTTAAGGGAAAGCCTCGAGCTTCGATGTTCAATCTGATACCGGAGGAGTGGGGTGGTTATGCAGGGCCATGGATTAGTGAGATATCTGAGACTTTTAACTGCTTAAAGTCTCTCCATTTTCGTCGCATGGTTGTGACTGATAAGGATCTTGCTATTCTTGTTGCTGGACGCGGCCATATGCTTAATGCGCTCAAGCTAGACAAGTGCTCGGGGTTTTCTACCAAGGGCCTTTTACACGTTACCCAGAATTGCAGGTACTTTTTCTCTAAACAGTTGGACACTGGTTCTAGAACTTTTCTTACTGGATGGACATTTGCTGATCTTTAGTAGTCAATTATGTGTTTCTCCCATACTTAGTGAATGAAGCATGAAATTTCTTTGATGTTATCAGCTTTTGGACCATGGAATATTCATTTGGCAAATTAGAGAAATAAGTATGGGATCTTCTTTTTTGTTGTTGTTGTTGGGCATATGCATTTTCTACTTCCTAAAAGTGGGGAGAATTGGAGGGGGAGTCTTCTTTGGAAAATAATTGAAGGAATGCTTTTTCCCTTGCCTGAAATTATGTTTGATCTGTTATAATGAGATATCATTTCGGCAGTCTGATATAAATGAAAATTACCTGTCATCCCTTTTTGTTTTTCCTGTGTCTGTGTTGCTTAAAAACACCTGAGTCTGGTTTTTTGTCTAATACCATGCAAAAAATGCCTTATGCCCATCTATAACCCAGAAGAATGATATTCACAAAATTCCCTAAATCTGAGATTCTAACATTTCTCAAATTTCTAGTGTTTAACTCTTGGCTGCTTTTTTTTTCCCCCTGTTTTGAAATATTACTAGTTAGTTTCAAATTTCTTCTTCATTGTCCTGGAATAAACTTGCTTATCGTTATGCAGACTCCAGACTTCTCTTATCCAAGTTTCATGATTTTAGAATAAAATCTTTCAATTGATGCATCTATGCACACGCACACCACTACTTCTGCAGTTATGCTTTCATTAATAGATTCAACTATGTGTATAACAAAAGATGGGATTAGCCCACTAGCTCATTTGAACATATGAGCCCAACATCCCAGATTGATTTTCGGCCGATCTGACGATCACGGATGTCTGGTAGTGTTTGAATTTTAGTTTTTTTTCTACAAATCCAAATCACTTGAAATTTTAGGCTTGTGTTCATAAAAAATAGGAGAATCTTCAAAAAATATAAAAAAATATATTTTACATGAAATAAATTGATCAAAATACCCTCGAAAAGTTTCGGGGGGTATTCTGGTCACTTTTTTTTGCGAATAATTTTTTTAAAATTTTTATTAGGTGTGCCTTGATGAGAAGAACACACACCTAAAACTTCAAGTGATTTGGATCTGTAAAAAAAAAAAAAAAATTCAAGTACTACCGGACATTCGTGATCGTCAGATCGGCCCAGATTGAATCTGGACCGTTGGGATCATATGTTCATATGAGCTAGTGGGCTAATCCCATCTTTTCCCTACTAAGAATATGTGACATTGGATGCATTGATGTGGGGAGAAGTAACTTGTAAACATAGTGATATATTGATGGAAAAAGTTTATATAAGGTGTCAACCCTATACTGTACAAATAAGGTGCACCTAAGAAACCCACTAGAGAAAGTTGTTCCTATGCTAGAAAACCCTTAAATCGGTCATCTTGACCTTGAGGTTCATAGACATGAAAACAAGGGGATTTCAAGTCCTAAAAATAGTTCATTTATAACACATTATCTAGACTGTCCATTTTCAAGTGTTTATAAATCTGCTTGATCATCGCCATATCTGGAACTGCAAATTTTATAATTGGGGGAAAGAATAGATTTTCATATCATTGCAACGCTTTGCGTCACCGAAACTACACTTTCAACAAAGTTTTGAGGTATACCATACTTCAATAGTATATGGTTGACACCTTATACAAACATTACCCTATATTGATATGCATTTTTATATGGACAGATGTATATTTATATAATAATCTACATGTATGAGTATAGAAAGTAGTGATACATTACATGTACATACCTAGATATAAATATCGACATATGCATATGCCTGTTAATTTTAGATATATGTCATGCGCACAACTTTTTTGAGGTAGAACTTGATCATGCAGAGTTTGTTCATGTATCATTGACTGATGTAATTCTGTGTGCCTCAGTGTCACATATCACTCAAATGGTGCCTTGGATTCCTTGTTTATCAATCCTGTTTGAATGGCAAATCATCTGATTTGACTTCTCTTGAGAGGTGGACAACACAAAATACCATTTAAAGAAATGAAATTCTGGGGTGGGTTTTCATTGATTTGAACCATAATCTTCTCATTCTTTGGAGGTACAATTGGATGCAACCTGTGGATGCCCTTGATGTTTCTAGTTCTGTATATCCTCTAGGTTTTATTTGTATATGTTAATTGATGGATCCAACCCTTTTTTTATGTAATTACAATTGTATTGTTGAGAGGGATAACATGGGAAATTATTATAATAGTTTGGGCTTTGGATATCACAACTGAGAGACTCTCATCTTCGTAAAGCATCATAGAGATCCCCTTTGACCATTTTAATGGAGATCACTATAGAGCTAGTGTTATCTAGTGTCACCTCAATATCGTTTCCAATCCTGAATGTGATGAGCATTACCTGGCTGGTGCATCTTATCACATTAGTTGAGTCCCTTCTCGATCATGGGTCTAGAGAATGATCTTGCATAGGTGCTATTTCAACAAAGCACATCTCGAACCTCTTTCTCCCTGTAATGTGTAAACCTGATGAGTTATTATAGGCCTTACATATTTTACCCAACTCAAAAAAAATAAAAAATAAAATAATAATTGCCCTACTCATCTTGTTAGGCTTCCCATAACCATGAGATTTGTGTCACAAGTGGAGCTCCTCTTCATCCCCACTTGAATGTGCTTCTTCAAACCACCTTGGCCATTAATTGAGGTTTTCAGTGATCTATTATAAATTTTTTCCCATTGCTAGTTCATTTACTTTATGTTATCTCTACAGATGCTTTTCTAAGCCATGGAAATTCCATGAGGTTTCCCTAACCTCCATCTTGATTGGTCTTCGGACCAGATCCTCTGATGGTCCACCATCCCTGCATGAAGAAAGTCTGTTACCCCTTGGGCCATGATTACATCATATCCCTCTCAATTTTTATAATGTTATGCTGTGGCTATTTGATCACTTCGTCATCACTTCATTTTCAGTTCTTACACTTTTTTTTGGGTAGTTGTCATCCGTGAAGATTTATAGAAGTTTTGGGCTGTTTTCTCTGCATTTGTTTTATTGTCTCATCATATCATTTATTTTGACTGAAGATGGGAAATTTAATGACTGGTTGATTGAATTCTATCCTGTATTTTTTCAGATCTCTAAAGACTTTGTTTTTAGAAGAAAGCTCTTTTGAGGAGGAGGATGGTGAATGGCTTCACGAGCTTGCTTTGAATAATACTGTCCTAGAAGTTTTAAATTTTTATGCAACAGAGGTGAAAAAAATAAACATTCAAGATCTTGAACTGTTAGCTAAGAATTGTCGCAATTTAATTTCTTTGAAGATAAGCGACTGTGAAATCTTGGACCTAGTTGGTGTGTTTCGAAGAGCAAACGCATTAGAAGAATTTGGGGGAGGTTATGTCAGTGAACCATTGGCAGGAGAGGTGAATAAATATGGAAACATGTACTTTCCGCCAAGGTTAGCTCGTCTTGGTCTTAGCTACATGAGTGAAAACGAGATGCCTATGATTTTCCCTTTTGCAGCTTCACTGAAGAAGCTAGACTTGCAGTACACATTACTAAACACCGAGGATCATTGCCAGCTGATTCAGCGCTGCCCCAATCTTGAAGTTCTTGAGGTAAGGTCCCATTAAAGATTTTTTCATTATAATTTTTTGAGTCAAAGTTTTCTGTAATCCAGTGGGATGTGGAAAACTCTTTGTCCTTTGGGTCATTGTATGAAATGATGGATGAATTTAAGAGAGTGGGACCTACCATTGGATGTCATGTCTCGTTCTAGTGGATCCCAATATTTCTCCATTATCATCTGTCATTTCATTGAATGCTGATGATCTATGGATTTCCGTGGTCCATTCAACCCTGAATTCCCAAATTTTAGTTTTTGTGAAGAGAGGAACTTTACTTATTTGCTCCTTCATTTTGCAGGTGAGGAATGTGATAGGTGACAGAGGACTAGAGGTTGTTGCTCAACATTGTAAAAAATTACGCAGGCTTCGAATTGAGCGTGGGGACGATGAGCAGGGTTTGGAAGATGAACAGGGAATGGTTTCTCAGAGAGGAGTATCTGCCCTAGCTGAAGGTTGCCCCGAACTAGAGTATTTGGCTGTTTATGTATCTGATATCACTAATGCAGCTTTAGAATCGGTTGCCACTTTTTGCAAAAACCTCTGTGACTTTCGCCTGGTTTTACTTGAACGAGAAGAAAGAATAACTGACTTACCACTCGACAATGGGGTTCAAGCTCTATTAAGAGGCTGCCAGAAACTAAGAAGGTTTGCTCTTTATCTAAGGCCAGGTGGTCTAACTGACAGAGGTCTTGGTTATATTGGAAGATACAGTAAAAATATCAGGTGGATGCTTTTGGGTTTTGTTGGTGAAACAGATGCTGGGATTTTGGAATTCTCAAGAGGCTGCCCCGATCTTCAGAAATTGGAGCTACGAGGTTGTTGTTTCAGTGAAAGTGCATTGGCTAGGGCAGTTATAAATTTAGCATCTCTGAGATATCTATGGGTGCAGGGCTATAGAGCATCGCCAACTGGTCGGGATCTTTTAAGGATGTCTCGTCCGTTTTGGAACATAGAGATCATTCCTCCAACGATTGAGAATGGTATGCCTGATGATGTTGGGGGTTTTGAGCTGCCAGCTCAGATTCTAGCGTATTATTCACTGGCTGGAAGAAGAGATGATCATCATGGAACAGTCATTCCGTTATCCCCATCATCCTCATGATTTCATAGGTGCGTGCTCTCTGCTACTTCTTCTCATTATTTAAATGCGTTGAACATTCTTCCATGGCGAAGCATACTATGCTTTTAATGGACTTAAGGAATATGTACTCCATTGGGGTCAGCACTGCCTATAAAATGTGCAAAGATGGAGATAGACTGGAACTCTGGGACAGTGTCTTGTTTCAGTGAGTTCCACTTTCTCGCCATAACCATCCATCATTTCATCCAGTTGTGATCAACACATTTGACCATGGTTTCCTATAGTCCATAAACATATATTTCCCTCTGATATGTTTGCCCTATCGCTTATGTTTAAATATGGTATTCCCTTGCTTTCATTACGAATCTGTGCTTCTAGGTGTTAAATGCTAAGGTTTCTTTGTGTTCTGCTTCTGTAACCTTTGATGGACAGGCTGCTCAACCTGCCTCGCTTGGTGCAGGGTTTGTTGTTAAAGATAGTAAAATTATAGGTAAATTATAACTTTGATGATGATAGAGATTTCTTAACAGGTATAAATATCTTTTTGTGAATAGATCTTTCTTAAGAAAATGTAATTCTTTGTTTCATTTTGTGGGTAGCTTTTTATCTGGAAACCTTCATGTCAAGACATAGTTGATTTGTTGTGTACAATACTTGAAATATCCACCATAATTCAAGAAACTAAAAAATGTTAAAATCTTGCACACCAGAGGCAACTGAGCTGAAACTAGATTCAACAACTTCTCCTCAGGGTTTAAAGCTGCATCAAAAAGATGAGGGACCAAGGAAGTCCTAGATGTTTGGCGCTCATTTTCGAAATTTAGTGTTTCAAGAACTATGAGCAAATAAATGTTTTTCTCTCTAACATTGATGTCAAGGGCCATGGTATTTGTCAGTAGTGCCAAATAGGTGAGAATGGTACCAACAATGCTGGAAAACTACCCCTCTGCAGTCCCACTTGGGAAGAAACAAATTACCAAAGGAGAAACATTAGTAAGTGTTTCCTTGGTTCGAGTTTAAAACTTGTATGCAAACAGAAACAGCCTTAAGCTAAAGGAGCTGTATTTCTGGCGCATTCCAATTGTCTAAAATTCCCTTTGAAAGAAAGCACTAAGTTACTTGGTTTTTGCATAATTGAGCTTTCGGATTATTTTGTGCTTCTTAAAAATGATTGAAATTCTACAACTTGTTTGTATCTTCGTCTTCTCATGTGAACACATAGTAGTTAGCTGCATGCCCTGTTCCCCCATACATGTTTCTCTGTTTTCAAGTCATGTCATACCCCTCCACGCTGCTACGACACCATGTCTATCTTGGCAGAAGAGAATATATTCACTTTTTGCATAATCACAACAAAGTAGAATTCTAAAGTACCCAGATCGCTTTGTTCTGATTAGATTCGCTTTAGAGTAGCTGTAAGTCAATAAAATTAAGAATAAGCAATGAGTCAAGGAATAAAAGAAAACTTTGGTATGCTTGATCTAACCGTTGGTTAGATAATAGATGTAAGTTGTAAAGTAAACTCAAGAGAATGATAGTAAGAACATTGGTCTGATTAAAGGTATCCATAAGATTAGATGCATGTTCCTAAATAAGAAGTTCTCTCATGCTGCTTTCCCTATTGGATTTGTAGGTTGAAAGAAGTATCTGGATTCTAGTATATTTGCTGTACTTTTATGAGTGCTATTACTAATATAACCAAGCCAAAGTTACTCTTACTCTTGGTTTTCCCTTAGTCCACAATTTTGATATAAATCATTCTTTTGGCACAGGTAACAAACATGGACTAAGAAGCACGTCATGGATAATGCGGTCAGTTAAAACCTTTGATATAATCACTGAGTGCATTTCAATAGAAAATTAGGGTTTTACTTTCACATGTTTTCAGTTCAACAGTGGATCCGAACTGAACATGAAAACCAGTTTTTTATACAGTTCAGCATTCATCTCCCGCATCATTGCTTGTAGTAATCACCTTGGGATCAGTATACTGCGTCCACTCACTGTTCTATATTTTCCAGAGAGGCTTCTATGTATTTCAAGATATCAAAATCTTGTTTATAAAAATATATGCTTTCCTGGTGCTGTGGGAACAAGTCCAATTGTTACCATCATGGTTTTCTTCATTGTGATGCACGTGTTTGGCGACATTATTCAAGGGAGCAGAGCCTAAGTTCCTTGTATCATATACGTTCCGGGGATTGTGAGAATGTAAAGCCCAGGGAATATGTTTCTTTTGAGTTGCTACTGTGGATTATAGGTGAAGCTTTTGTTTCTTGTGTTGTTGTGGAGCTGCAAAAACCCCTAATATTTGGGGTTCACATGAAGCGGTTTCTCTATGTTGGACTTGATGTATTCTTAGTGTTTCCGAGGCAGGGTTATTTTCGGAATTCAGGTCACTATGTTCAAAATGTGGCTCTTTTGGGATGATCTCTATCAGTATTGTGATATGACAGATGCACCTGAGTATTCAACGGGGATGAGAAGAGACCTGGAGTCTTCCAAGGCAGCTCAATTGAAGAAAAGGGGGTGGATTCTTCTGAAGTGCTTTGGCTCGGTTGTAGAGAGAGAGAGAGAGAGAGAGATTTCTGTAAGAAATTCTGAACTAATATCTGTGTATTTTCTGTAACACTTTCGTGTTTGCTTTTGTTGCTGAACTGTTGAGATGTGTAGGCAACGGGGATCTGGCTTGTTCATGATTTCCTCCGCGGTTTATGTGTCCTTTGTAAATAATAGTGGAGTTTACCTTCTCTCCTTTTTCCCTTTCTTTCCCTCCTTTTTTTGGCATTTATTTGTATTGTGTGTTTGGGTGCATAATGGTTGTCTTCGAAAGATATCAGAGCTGAAAGGCCATTCTCAGCTAGGGTTCAGACCATCAGGTCAGAATCTTGGGTATTGAGGTCTCTGTTTCTTTTGAGATTTTCGTGCTTAATTGCTTAACTACTTGATTAATTACTGTATATTTCATTCATTGGAGGGGGATATTTGGTGTTGATATTTTGCTGGTTTGAGATGCCAACCTAAATTAGTTTAAAAAAAAGAGAGAATTCAAACCTAACCTAAACCTTTCTAGAGAAAAATGGAGGTGGTGTTATATTCTTTTGGCATTTAGATTCCAAATTTCATACCCAGCTCCAAATGGGGGGAAAAAGATTTGGTGTTGGGATTGTATTGCCATTTACCAACCTCAACCATGAAGCAACTTGCACTCCACCTTGGTTGATCCCAAGCTGGCCATGATGGTCCTAAGAGGGTTTTATTAGATCGGTAGACAACATAAATTTTTTAATACATCTATTTTTTGAATCCTCATCTATTGTTATTTGTTCATACTATGAATTTTTCTATAAATGAGAGTATAGTTCTTGATAGAGCAGAATAACATAACATTATTTGTGCAGTTAATATCAAATAGTTGGCATAAGACTCGGATTAAAATGATGGTGATGATGAATTATGAACCATTTTGTATGTGTGTGAGAGAGAGATTGATTGGGTGTTGGTGTGGTGTCCGGTGTTTAGCCAGACCCTGCATGAGCTTTTTGTATTTTACCATATTGGAAATAAAGTGCAATCTATTTTTTTAAAATTGAAATTAATACTTTTCTTTTTCCAGATTTTTTAAGGACGCGGTTTTGATTATCAATTTGTTAAGACTTTTAAGTCGAAAAAATATTTCTCTAACATGAGATTTGGAAAGAGTATGCAGTTAATTCTTTCATTTAAAGTGCTTATTATAGTGTACTTTATAGGAGGCATTCATATTCTGAATCCCTGGGGCAAAATAGATGCTCAGGACTACTTTCTAAAATTTTACAATCCATTATAACATCACCGGATAGGCATTTAGAAAGGTTTTGAACACTTATATTTGACTCTCCCAAAGGAGAATCAAATCTTTTGGCTTCTGTGTTGTTTTTTGGTTATGGAAAAATTTTATATAAGTAAGGTGTAGGGGTGGCACTGGACTCGGACCCCGGGCCTGATTTATACTTGCTGGGTATACCTGACACAGGTCTGGGTATGGGTCCAAGTTTTGGACCTGCGGGTTGGGACCGGGTCCAATAAAGGATATCCGGATAGTTTTAGGTCTGGGTACGAATCCTACTATACGTGACCATACGAGTATCCGGACCCTAATTTTTAGTTTACCCAAAGACCAATGTCCCAACCCTAGAATCATTTCAATACTTTTTGTCTTTCCCTAATTCCCCAATTGGCTAAATCCCATCGCCATCCTTTCTTGGAGACATAACTTCTCTCAAATCGCCCACCCCTCGAACTTTAGTTCTCTGTGTTATTCACCATTGTAGGCAAGAAAAAAGGACCCTCAAAGTGAGGGTGGCAATAGATCCGACCAGACTCGAGACCCGATGGGTATAGGTATGGGTCCAACTTTTGGACCCGACGGGTTGGGTTTGGGTTCAAACCTGAACTTGAATACATTTGGGTCTAGGTCTAGCTGGACCCGACTCATTGCCACCCCTAGTAAGGTGTAAAAATCCTCTATAAGAGGTGTTCAAATGTTATCATCTCAACCCCGAGACGTGTGGATATGAAAAAAGAAAGAATTTTAAGTCCTAAAAATATTGCATCTTGTAACATGTTATCTAGATTGGCTATTTTCAAGATTTTCAAGTATTTATAGATCTGATCGATTTATATTTTTTAAAAAAATTAAAATTTATAAATTAGAGATAAAAATAGATGTTCAATCTATTACGAGTTTCCGACATCGGAACCACATCCTAGAGCAAATTTTGGATGTGCACTTTACTTATACGCTGTAAGAAGGGTGCCTTGTACAAATCTCACTCTTTTATTTCTAATCCCGTGCTAGAATTTCTGTGGTGAAAGCAAGTTGTTTACCTGAAGTTTAGAAAAGTTTGTCGGAAAGAGAGATCGTTTGTTTAGCTGGTACGATGAGTGTAAAAAAAGGGCAAAAAAAAAACACATTTCAAAAAGAAAAATAGAAAAACAGGAGAATTAGGAAAATTAGTAAAAATCTAGATTAATTAGGAAAATAGAACACATGCCAATACTAGAAAAGAAATAGAAATGGAGACGCATGCCTCTCCATGTGGTACTAAAATTTAGGGTTGGGGTTTGGGGGAAGCTTGGTGCTAAAATTTAAGTTTATGGATTGCGGGGAGGGTGGATAGAGGGAGGGAGATTAGATGCAATGCACCTTTTAGTTTAAGAGTTTGTAACATGTCAATATATATCGTTAGGAAGATGCTACAAAACGCTTAGCTAAAGAATATGTCTTTTTTTTTTTTCCAAGTAAAAGTGTAAAATTAGGTGAAATAGGGCAAAAAAATAAATAATATTCCATTTTTTTGTTCTCATCTACCGATATTCCTCATCAAATCTTCAATGTGAGACTAAAATCCACTACTTTCGCTTGCAATATTATTAAAAACTTTAGAAAAACCACATTAAAACTTACATTATTTTGTCCTAAAGCCGTGTATCACGGATACTTTTTAAATCACAAATTTTGAGGATGTAAGAATAATCTCAATAGAAAATTTCCCAAATAAACTCTCTGTGTATTAGAAAAAACCAATGCCTCAAGATTGAATAGATACGGTCCAATTTTTTAAGGGCTATTGATCTAAGTGTCACAAAGCTCAAAATTCATTTTTTTTTACTTTTGCAAATAATCATCTAGTAATTCTTATATGGTTCCCAAAATTTCACATTAAATTTCATAAGTAGGCATTTTGAGCAAAGTAAGAGATGCACATTATGCTCCCACAAGAGCATAGTATGGGTGGTCAAAACTCAATTAGGACCATGTCTAGTACTTAAATTTGGGATGTAATCTCTTCAGCCCAAAGACTAACAGGCCTATTAAAAAGTTTTCACGTTGGTCTCACTCAAAATATACTCAAAATATTGATTATGCACCATTTTATTTTTGAAGGGTGAGATTGAAGTGTCCAAAACATCAAAATCTATCTTTTATTTTTTCCTTTTAAATTATCATCTAGTGATTTTTAGATGAATCCCAAATTTTAGAATAACCTCCCAATTAGTTCTTTTATATAAGAAAGTAAGTGTACAATACGTTCCTGTAAGAGCACTAAATACTCTTCCATCCAAATCTTTCTATACGGGAATACCCTTTCTACCCCTTATCTCAGCCTAGAGCGGAGAATTTTTCAGATCGAGTTCAGATTCAATCCATTTCAGATTCAAATCTAATCGGATCTAAAATATTTGGATCTAAATCTAAATCTAAAACTATCCATAAGATCTGGATCCGGAACCGGATCCTAATTAATTGCATTCTTTGGCTAATCTCGCTATCATCAGCAAAAAATTCGGGTCTTCAAAGCCCATATAGTTAGTTTTGCGAGTTGGATTTCAATAGTCCAACACCGATTTAAAGGTTATTGTTGGGACTTCGAAAATCCAAATCCGCTTTAGAAGCCCAACTCACAAAAAAAGACCCGGGAAAAGAAACATAGTGTCTATTTTTCTCATCCCTAATCCTTAAATCAATTTCTATATCACTAGGTCAAACTAAAAATAAGTTTCACGGCATCAAACAACTGAAAATAAGGTCTACTGCATCAAACCAAACATAAGGTTTCGTCAAGACACTTCCACTTCCTCCACTGGGCATCAACACCTATTGAGAGAAGAGATGGATGTTTCAACAAGAATCATAAAAAATTAAAATAAAAAATAAAAAAAAAATTCGCAAAACAACTAACAAAAACAACCATTGCATGAAAAAACTCCACACATAAAAACTCATCAAAAGAGCGTGAAAATCTAGAAGATCTTCAACAATAATAATAAATAAACAAAAATAATAACAAAAAAATGAGAGAGATACGTTGATTTTGGCAGATTTTACAGCTTCTTCAGAGGTCCCTTTGTTAAGCCATTAAAATGCTCGAATTTGAGCAAGAAAACAAAAAAATAAATTTAGGGTTTTTATAGGGGATTCGAAGAGCTTCAATCAAAGTAAAAAATCAAAAAAAAAGAAAAAAATAGAGACGAAATCTAGTTTTCTTTTGCTCACAAGAACCCTAGAGAGGAAACCAGAGATCAGAGATAAAGATGAGAGAGATACAGATACAGATCTGAGTCACAGTCGCAGAGAGAAGAACCGAGAAAAACGCAAAGATTAGAGAGAAAGATGAGAGAGATGGTTTCAATAGAGAGTGCAAAATGGGTTTACCGTTTAGAGAGAAGAACCTAGAGAGAAACCCCAATTACCTAACTTATTATTTCTACCTAGAGAGAAGCGATGGATTCGGAGGAGCGATGGATTTGAACGTTGAGGATTACGTTTTCGTAAGGTGGATTAGGTCTTCAAAGTTAAAAAATAGTATATATATCATAATATAAATTAAAATATATATTATATATTATTTTAATAACCGGATTAGATCCATCCGTACTTTGATCCAAATAGTATTCCAATCTGAGATATGGATCCAAGACAATTTTCAATCCATATCATAGATCCATATCCAAATCCGAATAAGATCCAAAATTCGGATTTCGGATTAGGCCGAGGGAGCACGCTGCACAGTTACTCCCTTGGGTAAAAAGCAGGCTTTTGATCTGAATTTGAGATCCATTTAGACCCACCAGAGTATTTTCCAAAAAATAAAAGACTTAAAGAAAGAAGAAGAAGAGGACCTTGAGTTTTAGAACTAATCATCAAAAATTTGGATTGTCTTCTTTCCATCTCAAGAACCAGTTCACCTTGCGAATTTTTTTTTTTTTTTT